CTGCAGCACAAAAGCAGTGTTAAGTCGCTGGGGGATATTTGTAGCAATAGCCAACAATACATTGTATGGGTCACAATTATACATTTCTCTTTTATGCCAAAAATCATTAGGATATTAAGTAAAGATCATGTTCCTTGAAGATATTTTGTAAATCTCCTACCGTAAATATATCAAAACTTAATGTTTGATTAGTAATATGCATTGCTAAGAACTTCATTTGGACAACTTTAAAGATGATTTTCTCAATATTTAGATTTTTTTGCATCCTCAGATTCCAGATTTTCAAATATTGTGCTATTCTAACAAACCATACATCAATGGAAAGATTATTTATACAGCTTTCAGATAATGCATACATCTCAATTTCACAAAATTGACCCTTATGACTGGTTTTGTGCTCCAGGGTCACATATAAGTTAGCACTTTTCATAATGCACAACGTTTCAGAGCAGTGTTACTTACCAAATCAAGATGTTAATGTTTGTAATATCTTAATATCTTTCCTCCCGGGGACCCAAGAATAGACTTTTTTTCCTCTGTAGTAGACATTCTATTTGAGTGAATTTCTCTGAGATCTTACATGTCACAGCTATGTGTCTGGATGCCCTGTAAAGAGCACACTTCTCTTTATATTTGCTTTTTTACATGTCTTTGTACATTTCTTTATTTCTAATTATGTCAGGGATGCATGCCGTGCATTACATACAGACACAAATATGTTTATTGTGGCTACGAATTCAGATGCATTCTCTCGTTTTAGTAAATCGTGTTCCCTTGTTAAATGATTGAGCTAAACGGAGGAAACTAATTCATACATTTGTGCATGATTTAACTAAAACTCACCAACAACTTGTCATGCAAACAAATTCTTAAATTGTACACAATTTAATTAAAACATGATGCAAAGTATTTTAGCCGGCTGGTGTGTTTTCTAAAGGCGTGATCTGATTGCACAGGTACTCACTGGAGGGAGCGACGCTCTTCAACACAGACCAGCACAAACCTGTCTCATCTACACTGATACAGACAGAAAAAGCTCATGTTTATTAGAATATGTTTTGCCGAACACACGCCAGTCCTGAATTCACACGGATTGTGTTTAATCAGGATTTGGATTCATGCATGGATCTGATTTCATAGAAACTGCCTCCTACAGGAGGTCACTTGTTTTTAATCATCTTTATTATTGTTCATTTACAGTCCTTCCTCTACTTTACTTTATGATTGCACAGACGTCATCACTGAATTCAATGATGAACTGCCTTTAACTGAAAATTGAGTGTTTACTGTTGTCCTTCTGCATTATTACACACTATTTAATACTGTGAAGCTGCTTTGACACGATCTGTATTGTTAAAAGCACTATATAAACAAAGGCGACTTCACTATTTGCACTAATGATGACTAGATAGATTACTAGGATTTGTTTACTGAAGCATGAAGACTATCAGTGGAAGATTACAAATGTTGTATGAATCAATGTGTATTAATACTTTCATAATCAATATCAGATATCAGTCAGATATTACATCAACTTTTTATGTTTGTAACCGTGTGTCTGTGTGTTAATGAGCTCATTTAATGAAATCAGCATTTATTATCCAGTGAATGGGTGCCGTCAGAATGAGAGTCCAAACAGCTGATAAAAACATCACAATAATCCACAGCACTCCAGTCCATCAGTTAACATCTGGAGAAGACGAAAGCTGAGACAAATCCAGCATTAAGAGGTTTTTAACTCAAATACATAGAGTCTATAATCCATAATAATGCTTCCTCCAGTGAGTCAGTGTTCTGGTGTGAATCAGGAGAGAAATCTGCACAGATCAAGCAGCGTTTACAAGCCAAAACTTTACATCTGTTGTCTTCTCCAGATGTTAACTGATGGACTGGAGTGCTGTGGATTATTGTGATGTTTTTATCAGCTCTCATTCTGACGGCACCCATCCACTTGCAGTGAGACACTGATGCAATGCTTGCATTTCTCCAAACCCGATGAAGAAAAACTCATCCTGATCTGGGATGACCTGAGAGTGAGGAAACATTCAGCACATTTTCATTTTCAGATGAACTATGCCTTTGAGCATGAAGCAGAAACACGCCGGACTCCTGCAGAATCATTTCCAGGCCTTTATTTCTTGACTGGTCGAGCTGCGACACACGCGCAAATAAACTGGCAGAAGTACGCTAAGCTCTCAACGCTTGATAAAATGTGAAAAATAAATACTGCGTTTGTAGCTAAGGTTATTGGTTTAGTTCCAGTAACAATCCACAGGTTTATAAAAATGCACTCTATTTCAAACACAAGCCAGACGGACGGAAAAAGAAAATGTGGCATCATCATCATCATCATCATCACCATCAGGAACAATGATCAAAAGTTTAAGACAGTGAGGGAGTCGTTCTGGACTGATTCAGATTCCCTCGTGAGACGAGCACTTTGGTGAGAGCGGCGATTCAGACACGAACAAACACCCAACGCCTTCGTTTTGCAGTTTGACGTTTTTCACGTGTGTCCTTTAGGAGTAAATCAAGAGCAAAAAGGCAAGACGCAGCCTTCTCACCATCATCTGTGAGCCCTCAGATCCACATCGACACGCTTCAGGAGAGAAAAACCACACACCATCATCTGCTGCAGATTCAGTGAATGACGGTGATGGACATCAATGGATGCGAGGACATATTTCTTATTGCTAATCAAACACGGATGCTTCTGATGAGCGTTTGCTCCCTTTGTGCCTCTGGGTCTGCACTGAAACACACTAAAAATCATCTTCTGGACTGAGAGACATCACGCTTTTCATGTCCAATCAATCCAAAACACGCTTCTAAAAGCAGTTCAGATCCAAAATCAACATCAAAAGTGCTGAAATCCAGAATAACGAGCAACATAATGAAACAAAGCAGCCGTTCAGGACAGTCACAGGATTCCCAAACACCTTGGCAATTAATGATGAGTTGAAGAAAAAGTCTTATTGCCTCAAAGGAACTCAAAGGTCATATTTACACAGTAGAAAATGGTTTGGTAAGTGCAGGACTTCAGTGTATCTCCACATGCAGATGTGAACAACGCACACATCACACTCGACTGTGAAATGATCCGACAGGCAAACAGAGATCTAGATCTAGAGACGCTTCGTCTGAGTGAGGATGAGCGCTTGAATGTTTGGCACCATGTGACCGGCGTCTGATGACACACACAACACACTCCACTCAAACCAGCCACGGTATGCTTCATCTGAACGCCACAGGAACAGGAAATCATGATTCACACTATGACAGAACTAAAACAACATCCTGAAGAGGAAATTAGCACCAGTCAGTATGACACACACACACAGACACGCACTCACTCCTGCTCACACACACAGAGACACACACACACACACACACACACACACAC